GTATAAAGCTCACTTTATCTACCATATTTGAGAATATGAGCGTAAAGATGAAATTCGCACCGGGTGTGAATATGTGCAAATGTGAGTCACCGGGTATAAAGCTCACTTTATCTACCATATTTGAGAATATGAGCGTAAAGATGAAATTCGCACCGGGTGTGAATATGTGCAAATGTGAGTCACCGGGTATAAAGCTCACTTTATCTACCATATTTGAGAATATGAGCGTAAAGATGAAATTCGCACCGGGTGTGAATATGTGCAAATGTGAGTCACCGGGTATAAAGCTCACTTTATCTACCATATTTGAGAATATGAGCGTAAAGATGAAATTCGCACCGGGTGTGAATATGTGCAAATGTGAGTCACCGGGTATAAAGCTCACTTTATCTACCATATTTGAGAATATGAGCGTAAAGATGAAATTCGCACCGGGTGTGAATATGTGCAAATGTGAGTCACCGGGTATAAAGCTCACTTTATCTACCATATTTGAGAATATGAGCGTAAAGATGAAATTCGCACCGGGTGTGAATATGTGCAAATGTGAGTCACCGGGTATAAAGCTCACTTTATCTACCATATTTGAGAATATGAGCGTAAAGATGAAATTCGCACCGGGTGTGAATATGTGCAAATGTGAGTCACCGGGTATAAAGCTCACTTTATCTACCATATTTGAGAATATGAGCGTAAAGATGAAATTCGCACCGGGTGTGAATATGTGCAAATGTGAGTCACCGGGTATAAAGCTCACTTTATCTACCATATTTGAGAATATGAGCGTAAAGATGAAATTCGCACCGGGTGTGAATATGTGCAAATGTGAGTCACCGGGTATAAAGCTCACTTTATCTACCATATTTGAGAATATGAGCGTAAAGATGAAATTCGCACCGGGTGTGAATATGTGCAAATGTGAGTCACCGGGTATAAAGCTCACTTTATCTACCATATTTGAGAATATGAGCGTAAAGATGAAATTCGCACCGGGTGTGAATATGTGCAAATGTGAGTCACCGGGTATAAAGCTCACTTTATCTACCATATTTGAGAATATGAGCGTAAAGATGAAATTCGCACCGGGTGTGAATATGTGCAAATGTGAGTCACCGGGTATAAAGCTCACTTTATCTACCATATTTGAGAATATGAGCGTAAAGATGAAATTCGCACCGGGTGTGAATATGTGCAAATGTGAGTCACCGGGTATAAAGCTCACTTTATCTACCATATTTGAGAATATGAGCGTAAAGATGAAATTCGCACCGGGTGTGAATATGTGCAAATGTGAGTCACCGGGTATAAAGCTCACTTTATCTACCATATTTGAGAATATGAGCGTAAAGATGAAATTCGCACCGGGTGTGAATATGTGCAAATGTGAGTCACCGGGTATAAAGCTCACTTTATCTACCATATTTGAGAATATGAGCGTAAAGATGAAATTCGCACCGGGTGTGAATATGTGCAAATGTGAGTCACCGGGTATAAAGCTCACTTTATCTACCATATTTGAGAATATGAGCGTAAAGATGAAATTCGCACCGGGTGTGAATATGTGCAAATGTGAGTCACCGGGTATAAAGCTCACTTTATCTACCATATTTGAGAATATGAGCGTAAAGATGAAATTCGCACCGGGTGTGAATATGTGCAAATGTGAGTCACCGGGTATAAAGCTCACTTTATCTACCATATTTGAGAATATGAGCGTAAAGATGAAATTCGCACCGGGTGTGAATATGTGCAAATGTGAGTCACCGGGTATAAAGCTCACTTTATCTACCATATTTGAGAATATGAGCGTAAAGATGAAATTCGCACCGGGTGTGAATATGTGCAAATGTGAGTCACGGGTATGAAACTTATTTAAGAATATGAGCGCAAAGATTCATTCGTTCTGGAGGTGAATGTCACTGTAGAGTCTATTTTGTATTTACGCATCTTATCTTCGGTTCACGTAAAGTAAGAAATGAAGATGTTTCCAGTTAGTTTCTGAGAAGGCCGAAATGGTTTGGATCCACACTATTATACCTTACGCTCTATTTTGTGTCCCGGTTTGATTTTTTTCAATTTCAAATACTAATAGAGAAAGATGTCTCCCAAGTTGGGAGCTCTTCAACCAATCAGCATACGCGAAAGAATTAATTAGTCTGTTGTATATTTTTATTAATTGAAGTGGTTTTTACATATATATAGCTTATGTTTCCGCAGTGGTTGTTGTTTCATTGTTCTGTTCGTCTTTGTTTTTTGCTCGTTTTGCCTTTTTGTTTGCCTTCTGAGCTTCATGTGAAGCGGCGATTTCATCACTGAACGTTTTGATATGTTGGAACTGTAGTGGAAAAAATAATAAAATGATAATTACCTTGTTAGTGATGTGTGCTATTGTTAGGTTCCATTATTTTTTTTGCAAGGAAAAACAAACAAACAAACAAAATAAAAGAGTAATTATAAAGCTCTAGAGGACATTTAGTAGATTGGTTTCTGTAAAGCCGTGAAATACACTTTGACGTGCTTCACGTTTTTAC